ACACACACACACACACACACACACACACACACACACACGGAAGCTGGGAAACAATCCCCTTTTACTCTTTTCCAGGAAAACCTGAACCTGGCTTCTTCACAGAATCCAAAAGCCCAAATCTCTCTTCTAGGTCAGAGGCCTGAGCCATACGGAAAAGGACAAAATGTGGGTGGAAGAGCCCATATCACCTCCAAGAAGGACCACAAGAGACAGTCATTCCAGACACCCTCCCCTCTGTCAACCCGGGGTCACCCAGGCCAACCGGTGTGGCGTCTCCTCTCTACTATGGAAAACAGTATGGCATGTTCTCACAAAGCCCAACATAGAGAAATACCTTAGGATCCAGCGACCCTCCTCCTCGGTACATATCCTGAAGAGCTAAGAACAGTGGCACGACTAGACACATGAGCACCTATGTTCCTTTCTAGTTTCTTCACATTGGCAAAAAGATGGAAATAAATACGTATTCATCAGAGGAGAGATGGTATGATAGCTCTGATGGCCATCTGGCTGGCCAGGAGTCTCAGAGATTTGGTAGTGGAGGCCCATACTTCCTCACGATGTGACCCAACACAATGCCATCCAGTGATGAGAACCCAATCTATCGGAAGATTAGGGTGGAAGGTAACCTCTTATTTAAGCCACAGCCCCAATACCATTGAAGGGAAGTTTCCTTGGGGGATGGAGCCTATTTCCTACATAAGTGGGCACTGTGGAAAGGCTTCTTTCTTTTATTTTTTATCATTTTATTGGAGGCTCATACAATTCTTATCACAATCCATACATATATCCATTGTGTCAAGCACATATGTACATCTGTTGCCATCATCATTCTCAAAACATTTGCCTTCTACTTGAGGCCTTAATATTGGCTGCTCATTTCCCCCTCCCTCCCCGCTCCCCCCTCCCTCAAGAACCCTTCCCTTCATAATTCATAAATTATTATTATGTTGTCATATGTGGGTGTTTGTTTCTGCTGGGTCTGGATCCTGCATCTGACATGCTGACCTCTGGTTCTTTGCACTAGAGAACCACCTGCCTATCATACTGCCTGCCGACCCAGGGAGCCATCAATGGTCTGCCGTCCGAGGACCTTCACTCCCCTCTAGTCACAGCCTGACCTGCTGAAATTTGGGTTTGTCTGCCTCTACAGCCACCAGCCTGTGGTTTTCCTGCTGATTAGGGGTTTATCGGCCCCCACAGCTACTCAGGTCAGGAGAAGCCACCAACTTAACCTCTGACCCATGGACTTGGAACCTGTCAATTCTTGCCTGCTGTTACAGCTGTGTGCCCCATTTTTTTATTCTTCCTTTCTTTTTTCTTGATATACATTTCTCTCTCTCCTTTTCTCCACAAGACATGTTATAATATAGATGCATCCGGAGGACATTAGTCTGAGTGAAATAAGTCAACCACAGAAATACTATATGGTCCCACTATTATAAAATGTCAAGGACAGACATAAACACAAAATCAAAATTCTCCAGTGTTACCAGGGATGGGAGCGGGGAAAGGCGCAATAACTGTTTAGGTAATAATGGGAAAGGTGAGAAGTCAGCACAACTTGCCTG